CCCCACTTTTAAAAGGCTGGCGCCGCCACTGGTTGTTCCAATCGTTTATATGTTGTGTTAGCTGGTCGATAAAGTCTCGCCCAACTTTGCCATACGGGACGAGAAAGGTATTTTTACGCCATCGCGTAATTTCATCGTATGCATTAACTATGGTTGACGAGTTGAACGTAATTATTGAGCCGTCCGCTCTGCGTCCCCAGATGGTAATCGATGGTATATCAACAGCAACATAGTCGGGTAAACGTCCTGCTTCATGTATGCCGGCGTGTGGTTCACCAGGACAGTCATTGGCCACTTCAAAGCTCTCTACAGCTTCGGTTTCTTGCCGTTCGTGACTGTTTTGGACAATATCATTGTCTGTATGCAAATCCAGATTGCTGTTTACCTCCAAATTTGCATTTTGACTAATGGTGTTTTGATTTTCAAAATTGCTAAATTCATGTTGTGAAATCGTGTTGTGCCTTCTCTGGTTTTCATCTAATGTCTGCTCTCTTTCGTCATCGATAACCGCTCCGCCGCTTACCTTACCGATAGGACGAGTCTCAGCTGTAGCGTTAATTTTCTCAAGCCTGGCGGCTTGATCTCGCAGGTTTTGGCTCTTCAATCCAAGATGTTCGTATCCTCTCTTGTCCCACAGATCTTTCATAACTTGTATATAGCCTTTCTTTCTGCCGTTCACATGGCATGGCAGGTTTTCCGATTTAAGGAATTCCATCGCTCTCTTCTTACATTCTAGCAGATCTGTATTCATTTGCTCTGTCCATTTTAATTTCGATCGCTGCTCTCGCGACATCGTGTATAATAAATATTTCATGAAATTGACCCAATAGCTGACTAAAACACCTGTTACAAAGAGCATGCGCTTTAAGGAACTTATGGACATCCCACAATCATTAGTGTAATGTTAGTCATGTAAATACGTAGATATGTGTGAATAAATCAGCCTAGACCTAGGCCTTCTAGTCTTATTTATATTTTTTAATATTCAGCGCTTTTTCACAGGAAAAGACTGGGACTAGGTGATTTGGGGGCGGGGCGGAGGAAGCAAGCCTAGAAGGCCTAGTGGATTTCCCAACAACAAGGCCAAAACTGCCCTGAAACTGCCCTGGTTGCGAAATGCCCAATTATTGCGTTCTCGAACAGAATTATTTACAATTTAACGGCGAATTTAAACCGATACAGGTAAAATAAACTCATTTATAGTATAAACTTACTATTTTTATTTGTATACACGTCTAGAAAATCGGTTTTTTTATCATAAAGTTCGAAGCAACGCTATTATTTAATATGTTGACAACGTATAGCGAAAGCACAAAATGAGTCAAAATATATACCAAAAGTAGAATCTTTCATGAAATTTTGTCTTATACACAACTACATTAATATATATTTTCTCAATTTTGGCAAGAAGCAGTCTTGTGTTTGTAAAATATACAAAATAAAACGGATACATATATTATTAGCCCGTACAGTACTGTATATAAAAACGTACATTGTTTACAAATGGTATATCCGTAATATTTGAACAGTAATTTCAAAATCCTCATACCCAATTCGCAAATATAGTTATTCAAAGCAAAACAGTAGATTGTCTAGCGAATAAAAGAATTATTATTTTGTGCCGTTTCGCTACACCTTGTCAACATATATAAATAGTGTTGCTTCAAACTTTATGATAAAAACCCCAATTTTCTAGACGTGTATACAAATAAAAATAGTAAGTTTATACTGTAAATGAGTTTATTTTACCTGTATCGGTTTAAATTCGCTGTTAAGTTGCAAATAATTCTGTTTGTGAACGCAACAATTGTGCATTTCGCAATCAGGGCAGTTTCAGGGCAGTTTTGGCCTTGTTGTTGGGAAATCCACTAGGCCTTCTATTTTTTCGCTTGCGTCAGGCTGGTGTCCTTCCTCCGCCCCGCCCCCAAATCACCTAGTCCCAGTCTTTTCATGTGAAAAAGCGCTGAATATTAAAAATATATAAATAAAAATAGAAGGCCTAGGTTTAGGCTGTGAATAAATAATTGTATTTTTGTGTGACTTAAATCGTGGTAACAAATGGTCCTTCGAACCGGATTCGAATCTTTTTGGTAGTTCAAGAATTATGTCTCGAGGGAGTGCCGCGGAGGCGCAAGTGGTCTCCGGAGACCAGACAACTGGAACTGCTGATGATGAGATGCCGAATAAAGAAGAGCTCGAGATAGTTTGGCATATTGCTAGTCGCAAAACAAGCAAGAGCAAATTTACGAAGATCCGAAATCGAATTCTTTCGTTAGTGGAAGATGCCTCCGCTTCGTGTCGTGAGGTAGAACAGTTTTTCGCAGAATTAAAAGAATTAGAAGCGAAGCTAGAAGAGACATGCGAGAAGTTACGGTATTTGTTTACAGTACTTAAAGCAGACGCTCGTGCGACTCAATTAGACCAGTGGTTAAACAAGTTATTTGACGAAGCTTTGGAGGTTAAATCAGCTGTAGCTCGATATACTTAGACAATCGCTATAGCAGTAGAAATTCGTCGGTAAGATCTAGCAAGAAAAGCGCCGCTGAAAAAAGCACGATTTCGACGTTTACGGACAAACAACAATCTGGTAATTTATTCGAAACAATGAAGCATGAAATGCCTGAATTTGAAAGGCCGACAATGAATATAGATTCAATTGCCCATCACAGAGATATAGATAACTTAAAAGCTACTTCTAAGCGTGTTATTCACGGACAGCAAGAATTTCAAGACGAAGAGAAGAGCGAAAAAGTTATAACAAATAAGACGGCAGCCTCAGGGAAAAGTAAACCAGACAATAATCGTGATACGGTTGACTGGGTTGAATCACAGCAAAATATTCGTGCAACAACAAATGAAAGGTCTCAACTTAACTCAAACTCGGACAGTGTAGAGAAAGAAATACGTTAGTTAGAAGAAGAAATTAAAACTATTAGGGCTGCACGACAAGCTGTCAGTGATCTTCAAATGCCTATAATGACAAATAGACGAACAAACGTATCCTTACGTGACCACGATAGGATTGAACAACCAAGTCAACCGAGAAGGGAAGCCGAAAGCAATCTCGAATTATGGCGAGCGCTCAGAGACCAACGCAAGCGTCAAACACCTATGAGAACAAATCAGCGAATAAATACATCTTTAACTGGTCCCGCAAAGGTCGAACTATCTAGATCTACACGAGCGGATGAGGGGAACAGTAACAAGTTATCAAACCATTTAGAACGAATTCATCTACCAACATTTTCTGGCAATAAAACCAAGTTTGAAGAATGGAAAGCTCGATTTACCGTGTGTGTTGATAAAACTGACGCTTCAACAATGCATAAGTTAAACCGTCTGCGGTCGCTTTTACGAGGGGAAGCGGAAGAACTTCTCGAAGGTCTTGGCTGGGAAAGCAGCGATTATTATAGCGCGTGGAAAATTCTTGAAGATGAATATGGAGGAGATGAGCGGTTTATTAACCGTCAAATGGATCTTATACGCGACGTAAAACAAGTACAGACTGTAGAAGATATTCGACAATTTTCTCGGCGTCTAAACACATGCGTAGTTATATTAAATAATCGTCGACGGTATGACGAGTTGGAAGCCGGTATGCTGTATAGTGTGGTTAAGTCGGAATTATCTCCAAGATTACTGGAAACATACTATACGTGGCTTGATTACCAACATCGTAGATCTACTTTGGAAGCCCTACGAGATTGGCTATTGGTCTATTCGAGGCATAAAGTGCAAGCCCAAGAATATGTTGAGGGTGTTCTAAAGAATGATCAAGAAAGAAGACCGAATCGTCGCAATAACACATACGCGTCAGCACAGAACAACAGAAAACGACGTCTATTTGTTTCAAATGTAAAAAGAAACATTATATTTCGAACTGTTATCGGTTCAAGTCGATGTCCTTAAAAGCAAGTTGGGAATTTGTTCGAGAAAAGAAGTTATGTTTTAAATGCTTGACCTCAGGTCATCAAAGTGTAAAATGCGATAAAGATGAGACGTGTCCAATCTCGGAATGTCACAGTCGACATCACCCATTGCTCCACCGACATCAACCCAAGGAGAGTGGAAAGGATAATGTTGAACAGTCAATTACCACCGAGCAACAAAAGGAGTAACAGAGACAAATTCAGAATGATCTAAGCAAAACCAATTCACCCCCTCCACAAGAATCCACTCCATCTACGTCAATGAGTAATCACGTAACCGATAATGGATCACAATTTATAGCACTTAGAACAGTTCCTGTCGTTCTGGTTAATGGCAATCAACGCATTGTAGCCAATGCCTTCCTTGACGAAGGAAGTACCGCTTCGTATGTTCCAGAAGATATTGCTCATAAACTTAAATTGCAAGGAACACCTGAACAACTTCACGTTTCTACCTTAACCGGAAAGACGACGTTCAATAGCACCCGTGTTCAAATCAATGTGGAAAGTCTTGATAGCACATTCAGTAGTCGAGTTGATGCTTGGACCAAGGATACTGTAACTCCAGGACTTGATGTGATTGATTGGAACAAACAAAAGAGTGAATGGCCCCACCTACGTCACCTTGAATTTCCCCATGTTCCACGCAACAGAGTCGTTGACATCCTGATTGGAATCAACGCTATTGAATTTCATTCACCTCTTGAAGAAATTCCTGGTTTACAGGGTGAACCGGTCGCTAGAAGAACACCCTTGGGTTGGACGTGCGTTGGACTCTGTCAGAGAAACATTGCTCTATCTGAAGCACGTTCTCATTGTGCTTTTCACAATGCGATGAAAGAAGGTGAAGGGGATAATTTGGACTGTACCCTACAGCGCTTTTGGGATCTCGAATCAATCGGCTTAGTACCAGGCAAAGAAGAGACATCCACTCCAGACGATTTGGAAGCTGAGAAGAAAGTTGCGAATTCCTTACGTTATGTCAACGGTCGCTACGAGGTAGGAATACCATGGAAGAAGAACGAACCACAGTTGGAAAATAATTACAACTTGGCTTATAAGCGTCTAGAAACACTCGAACAGTCTTTAAAACGACGTCCGAATGTCGCCGAGAGTTACCAGAAAGTAATTGAAGATCATTTGTCCAAAGGGTATACTCGGAAACTTACCCACCAAGAAAAGCAACGACCGAAGTGGTACCTTCCACATTTTCCTGTGGTGCGCAACGATAAATCAACGACGAAAGTCAGAATAGTCTTTGACGCAGCGTGTAGTTTTCAAGGGAAAAGCCTGAATGATTCTATGCACACTGGTCCTAAGCTACAGAAGGAAGTTTTGGACGTACTTCTACGTTTTCGCCGAGACAGGAGTGCTTTATCGGGTGACATTAGCGAGATGTTTTTGCAAGTTATCATGGCAGAAAGTGATCGTCCATATCATTCTTTCTTGTGGCGTGACCTGAAAAGCGGAACTCCTGATGTTTATGAATTTCAACGATTGGTGTTTGGAGATAAAGCGTCCCCCTACTTGGCTCAAGCTGTGTGTCGAGAACATGCAAAGAGAAATGCAAATGAATACCCGAATGCTGCGAGGACAGTCTTGGATTCAATGTATATGGATGACACCTTGGATTCAGTCTCGAACGTAGCAGAAGTAATTAATTTTCGACGTAATTTAACGGCAATGATGGCTCAAGCTGGAATGAAAATTAGAAAATGGTGCAGCAACGAAGCAGCCGTGATGGCGGACGTCTCTCCTTTGGATCGTGCTCAAGGAAGTATAGAGATACGAGACAAAACTTTGCCAACAATCAAAGCTCTGGGAATTACTTGGGAAGCTAGCAATGACTTGTTAACTTTTCAATACGCAGCACCACCTATACCTGATTAATTAACGAAGAGAGTCATTACAAGTTTTGCA